TGTTCTCTTTCTACGTGCTCTCTGCTTGCTTGCTCAGTCCTTCACCCCAGAGAAGCTCCCATTGCTGAACACAGCCACTGCCTCAGGTGCAGCTTCCCTGCATTTTACATCTGACTCTTCAAGTTTTCTGTGCAATATTGTGGCCCTCTTTTCTTTCTTTTATTTTAGGTTGAATGCAATTCACGTCTTGACCCAACCAAAACTACCCTTCTGAAGGTGAGTGCCACTCCAGAATCATTCCAGCCTGCACAAAGAGCTGTTGGTTTCTTTTTGGCTAAGGCCAGCTCCACTTAGGTTTTTGCCTTCCATACGTTTGGCTTTAAGAACTTTGTGGACAGCCATTCAGGGCTGCATTCTCTCCTGCCTGGAGCCAGACTTGGGAGAGGACAGTTTGTCAGGGCGTCTCCGAATCCCTGCTTTATGGCCACTTCTCTGTTATCTTCAACTGGCGGGGAAGACCTGCTGAGAGTCAGCAGAGGTGCCCTGCCTCCACCCTGCTCTCTGCCACCTACAGCATCACTTTTTCTAGCTTTATACCAGTCCTTCCCGTCCTCACCTATGGCTCTGCAGTGTGCCAGACAGCTGCTGTGTAGAACTGTAAAGTTACAGGTTTGGAAAGATTGAGTGGAGGAGCCAGAACAGTGGAGGGTTACTCCTGGGCTTCTAGAGTGTGGCCCAAGATTGCTTGGTAATGCAGCCTCCAAGGTGCTGGGTTCCTTCAGCAGCAGACTCCCAGAAGACGTGTCACCAGGCCTTGCTTCGGCTTCAGAGACAAGATGGTAGAAGTGTGCCCCATGTAGCAGTGCAGCCTGGCGCCATCAGCCCCGATGGAGTGGGCAGTGCTGGCAGGGCTCTGAGGTTGTCTTCCTGGGCTGGGCAGGATGGTTCAACTTCCCTCCCTTTTGTTTCCTATTGCAGATGGCCGACTGCGGGGGCCTGCCCCAGGTGGTTCAGGTGAGAAATGCCTCTCCACTGTCCCCCAGCATTGGAGTTATACAGAGCCACCTGCTCTGCTCACACTAAAGCTGTACTTTCTGTTTCCACAGCCTGGCAAGCTGACTGAAGCCTTCAAGTACTTTGTGCAGGGAATGGGCTACAGTAAGTGGCAAACCAAATTTTCTGTTTTGGAGCGGGGTTGCTGTGAAAGGAACTTGGCCTTTCTGGTCCATCTGAGCCCATTGGCATCCGTGTCAGTTAGTGTCGTTGCCAGCAGATCCATCCATACTGTAAAATCAACTAATGTGCAAACAAGCCTTAGTAAACCAATGTTGTTCCCTGACCTGTGTTTAATCCGCACTGCAGCTGGAGTGGTGACCCCTTTTTGGTTGCTCGTGTTGGTAAAACCTTGTACATCCATCTTTGTGCCAGTCCAGAAAAGCGTGCTCCCAAGAATGGTAAATCTTCTGAAATCTTACGTGCGTGCCTTCTCCAGAGGAAAAGATGCTGGCACTACAGCCTCGCAGTGGTGATGGGTACATGAGAGCTCTTTTCTTTCCTCATGGTTGTTTTCCAGGCTCTTAGCAGGGGTAAGCGATACCTCAGAATGAAACCCTCTAATGGCAGAGCAGAGAGCTGGGTGTCTTCTGGGACACCCGGGGAGCCCTGAGGGAGCTGTGCTTTGATCCTGTGCATGCCCTGCCCAGTGGCTTCCTCCGTGTGTGTGGAGGCAGAAGATGTTGTGTCCTGAGCGTGTCAGGCTGACAGCTGCTCAGCTCCCCTGCTCGCAGCACTCCAGAGATGGGGCACTGCAGGAGAAGGGGTCTCAGTGCACTAAAGCAACTCTGTCTCCATTGCAGGCACCTTAGCACAGCTCTGTCTTGCCTGCCAGGGTCCAGGGCTAGGAGTTCCCATCTGTGGATGGACTGGAATTGTGGGAGGGGTTGGTTCGCAGGACTGGTTACCCACCAGCATGGCCACCGTGGCAGCTGTGACACTCCCACTGGTCTCCACACTGCCAGAAGTTCTTTGCCAACTCACGTGTGTCAGAGCTCAGAAGAAGCTTTTCCTTAGAGCTGTGTGTAGCGGACATGAGTGTAGTAGGCAGTCGTGTTCTCCAAGGCTGCCCAGAAGGGCCTGGTCCTGCAGAGGAGGGTGCTGTGAGAGAAGGCTTCCTCAGCCTCACAGCCCGAGAGCATTTCAGTGCTCACATCTCTTGTGTTCCTGGTGTTGGTAAAGTCAGCAAGTGCTGTCATCAGAGCACAGACTTCAGCAGCACTTTGGTGGTCAGATCTCTTGCAAATAGGATGTGCAGCACTAGGGAAGAACAGGGGGTAATTTTCTACTTCCAGAATTAGTAGCTAGTCCCAGAATGGTTTTCTCAAATTCAGTTGGCAAGACTGTGTTGACACTGCAGAGCCTGGCCAGCAAGGCCTCCTCTCTCAGGGAGAGCAAGAGAGAAGCCGATCAGCAGCTTACCATTTCTAGATACGCACAGGCCAGGTCCTCCACAGCTCTTGTTCCTTCTGCACACTGGCTCATGCAGAACCCGCCTGCGCCGACACTGCAGGTGGAAGGTGATGCCTTGCAGGAGGCTTGTAGCAGAAATCTGATGCTGTCAATTCACGGAAAGACAGTAATTCCTGCTCTGTATCTGGAGTTACAGACTGTACCCCAGTTTCCCCACTGTAGGAAAATGACGTCCCCGTTGAGAGGCTGTGGTGTGTACGGTGGAGAGGCAGGGTCACCAGGTGCCATCAGTTTCCAGCTACAGGCATTGAAAAGATCTGGCCCTGATGGATTTTGAGTCAGCTTGGCATTTCCCTGAGATGCTCAATAGCAGCTGTTTTCACAAATACTGGGAGCTTTCAGCACAGTGTGTGAGCTGGGAAGTGGAAGGCAACGTAGCTGGGGATCCCAGAAGCAGTGCAGCTGCTGTGACACACCACAACTAATTGGCTTTTTCCTGTATTCATCCCTTCCCTTGTCTCGTGTTGTTTCCAGTCCCTTATGTGCAGCTCAGCCACCTAAGCACTGAGTCAGGTACCTTCAACCGTGCATCCGCCTTGGCCTCAGTCTGTGCTGAGTTGCATGGTTCTTCGGGTGCATTGCTGTGTCTCGGCATGTCCTGCTGCGAGCTAGGCTGATCCATTTTACAGCGTGCGTGCTGTGGTTTTTCACGTGTCATTTGTATTTTGTTGTTTGTTGCATGACCTCAGCTCTGTGGTTTTCTAGAGTGACAAGACTGACTTTCAAAAGGTCATCAAGCTGCCTCGGTTTGCACAGACACTCGCTACCACTGCACTTGCACATGATCAGTTACACTTTGGCATTTGCTCACCTTGGACCTTTTGAAATTGGGCCTTAAACATCTTGCTTTAGACGTGCAGAGACTTAATTTTGGCAGTGAAGAGTGAGGGTATAGCTTTTTTTGTGCTTACCTGGTGACACATACCTGGGTGACTGTGATCCTTGCTCTAGGAACTTCCTCCTTTTCTAAGCCCCACACTTGTTTTCTCTTGCAGTGCCAGCAGTGAGTATGACCAGGCTGATGCGCTCCCGCACTCACTCCTCCTCTAGCGTGGGCTCTGGGGAGAGCGTCCGCAGTCGGTCTCACACCAGCACCCATGGTGAAGGAAGTGCTGGAACCCCAGAAGGAATCGACCTCCATGAGGCACCTCAAACCATGGAAGTGTCCTGTTAGGGAGGAACCCCTCTTCTGGATTCAGACAACTCCTCTTGCCCCCCCCCCGAACCCGCTCAGAACCTAGCATTTCATCCAACACAACATTAACTGTTCTCTCTAACTTGTGCATGCCCATCTGAGCTGCCACCTTCTTGGTAGTCTGTACTTGGCATTACTTTGGTCCTTTCTGTATGCCCTTGGCATCAGAGCCTCTTTAAAATTTGTTAACATTCCACAGTCCTAGTAAGTCCCGTTACTGTACATGCTGATACCATCTCCTGTCAGTGCTGTGTATCAGTCCAGATGACAGCTGTTGTCTCCCCTGTTTGTTAAATATAACTTCTGTGGCTTTGTGAGGTTTAGAATTTCTTTCTAGTTGTGTTTCTGCTAAAGGACCCTCGTGGTGTGGTTGGTATGGCATCTGTGGGACGTGGAAAAGCAAGACTGTGACGATGTGACGCTCCCAGCGCTGGGGCAGGCGATGAGCCTGGAGCGCAGAACAACCAGGAGGTCTTTGTGTTCCCAGAGCTCTTGGTGCACCAGGCAGCTGTGGAGAGAACAAATGGTCGGAAATACTGCCTTGGTCTCATCTCTGCGTGTGTTAAGAAGGAGCAGAGTGATCTCTTACCTGAGCCTCCTGAAAGGGCAAAGCAGTTAACGTGTCACCTTACACTAACCGAGGGGCACTGTGCACCAGCTACAAGGGATCGAACTGCAGCAGCCCTGGCCTCCAGAGCGCCTCTGCGGTCTCTGCCTCCCAGGCGGTACAGCCGCGTGCAGTGAGCATCACGTCACTGCTCCACCCTGGCACAAGGGAATCTTGACCATCACGCAGGTTGTGAAGCGAGCAGCAGTGCCCTTGCCAGGGGGAGCTCCAGGAGTCTCCTGCACTGCCAGCCCCACTTCCCGCTGCTGCCAGCCCCAGACAGGGCATTAACTGAGGCTCAGGAGATACCAGTGAATGCAAATGGCTCCCAGCAGCCAGACGTTCGTGTGGGCCAGGTCAGAAGTGTGAGCAGTGCAGGCACTATTTACTGTCTTTGTGGAATTCACAATTCTGCTGCCTTTTTACATCTGGCCAAGTCACAGAGGGCAGGAGGCAAATGCCTGCTGCATGCCAGAGTCTGGCTGTTAATGAGAGAAAATGGGTGAGTGGTCAGGTAGATGAGCAAAACCTCCTTTCTTAACTGCTGAGCAGTCCTGACTCACTGGGAGCCAGCTCCTCCCGGGGTCACACTCACATTCTGCTCCATTTCAGGTAGGGAATGGGACTGGGAGGCTTTGCCTGAGGGGGACTTTGTACCAGTTATTAAATAAAGCTATAACTGAGTTTCATTGTTGCCCTGTGTGCTCACATTGTTTGTCTTGGCACGACCTGATGGCCTTGCTGGTTTTGTCAGGTTTTGAGCCTTCTGCCATGAGCTCTTTCCTGAGGAAGAGGTGGCACTGGCCACTCCTTGTTAGTGGTGTCCCTGCGGCCGTGCGGGAGCAGCGTCCCCTGGAAGAGGCTGTCCGAAGGCGCTGGAGAGCTGGCTTCTGCAGAAGTGCAAGACAGAGTGGAGACCGAACAACAGGTTTGGTGCAGAACTGGCACACCGATGGGCATTGCCTCCAAACAAAGGTGCATGCCAGGAGCCACCTTTGGTAAGTAGTGCTCTGCACCAGTGTTTTTTACAGGTACAACACAAAGTTATCCTGTACGATTAAGTTACTGCTGCCCCTGCGTGGGGCGTGGGACTGCCTGAGGAGGGGAGCAGACACTGCAGCAGAGGAGGCGGTGGTTACACTTCTGCCAGCCCTCTGTGCTGTGTTAAGATGAGCCCCCTTTGTCCAGCCTCACCGTCCAGGTTGGGAGGGACAGCCCGAGGGCCCCTTTTTAGTCACCGGCAGCGGCCCAAGGAGGGGCTGGGGGGGCGGCTGAGCTGCATCTGGGACAGGTCAGGGATTGTCCCTCACAACCCCAGGGACCCCAGCAAGGCTTCCCCACCAGTCCAAGGAGCAAATGAATCTCCGAACTTCATCAACCCCTTCCAAGCCAGCAGTGTCCAAGCTCAGAGCAAGTTCTGGGGAGGCCCTGAACCCCAACAGCCATGCAGGCCCCAGCAGATGGCTGCTTTCAGAAAAGCTCTTCTCCACGAGCATTTCGCACCCTCATGGTGGTTTATGATTGACCAGAAACTTTCAACGGTACAGCAGAACTAGCAGCAGGATGTTCAGCCGCAGCAGCGTGGCTGGGGCCGGTGCTGCGGTGGGGAACAGCAGGAGGCATGGGGGGAGGTTGGTCGGCAGCACCAGCCCAGATTGGTGGCACCAAGGCTGCTGAGAGGAAGCACCAGGGCCTTTCCTGGGGTGGGAAGAGTCAGGGTGCAACCTCTGCTAGCTGAGCCAAACAGCATTTGCTTTGCAACGTGACACGTCCGACGTATTTTGGGAAACGGTCAGCAGGACAACCCACACCGGGGTGGAGGCTGCGGGGACTTGGCTGGTTCTGGATGGGGCTTGGAAGGACAAGGGGGGTGTGGGGCTGGGACTGAGGGTGGACAGGTACGAAGCTGGGGCTGCAGCTGCTCCCACAGAACCCAGCGGGGCACTGGGGAGGGCCCCACGCGTGGCTGTGGCGC